ATGACAAATTAATGTATTGCTTTTTTTAGCATACAGCTGGTCATTTTGCACCAAGGAGAAAATCATTTCCAGTATAGATATCGCCTGGGTCTTCCATTCGTTTTCTTATACTTACCAACTCTGAATTATATTTACATCAGACACAGATTCACATTATCATAGTAAAGTATCATATATACGTTTTCGGGGATGTGGTGGGGACACCAGATTACTGTAGCATACAATAAAACAAACGTGAACTGTATGTTAATATTATGTACATAAAAAAATCGTTATACAATCTTTCAATCTTCTACAGAATAAAAGATAGCCTTACGCAATTTACAGAGCAAACATTACGAAAGTACGCAAAATCATAAATAGCAATGTACAGTAAAATTGTATAATTATTGATCAGGAATTTACTTTGTATATATCCTATAGATACATAACAAAAGACAATGCATACTATACATAATATAACATATCATATATATATATATGTGCATATGTATGATAATATATCATGTATGGATTATGTTATACGACTTAATACACATAGACATACAATGTATAAGTGTAATACATGTAAACCATACAGACATTATAATATATCATATGTCCAAAGACATTTATGATATATCATGTTTGTCAATATACATTATGATATACTATATCTGTAACATTATATACTATATATATATATTATGTTATATACAACGCATATAGTGTATCGTAGAGTAAATTTATTATATTTTATACATATTATAATACACCATACACATAGTATAATACACCATACACATAGTATAATACACCATACACATAGTATAATACACCCTATACATAGTATAATACACCATACACATAGTATAATACACCATACACATAGTATAATACACCATATACATAGTATAATACACCATACACATAGTATAATACACCCTATACATAGTATAATACACCATACACATAGTATAATACACCCTATACATAGTATATTACACCATACACATAGTATAATACACCCTATACATAGTATAATACACCATACACATAGTATAATACACCCTATACATAGTATAATACACCATACACATAGTATACATTATGTATGCTGTATACAATACAATATACCGTAAATTTTCAACGATGTACACAGCATTGTATAGCATATACAGAATACAACATATACAATGTAATACATCGTGAATTTATGATATCTTACTATCATTATCCTATCATGCTGTTTATTCAGCACAATGGGCTATAGTATTTAATACTACCACAATTGATACCATTAACATATTTTCTGTCTTTCATACCATGTACAAAGAACGTGAAATTGTGAAACTATAGCCTGAGAACGGTACATTGTGCTAATGTGCTATACTTAATAATGTGTTCTAAGCACAAGTATATACATTCTTATTGTATTCATTTTGTTGATGCAATCACTCAAGAAATTTAAAAGGTTTAAATGCTGGTCTAGAACACATTGAAATATATTTTTGCAACATGGCAAGAAATCATTTTACACATAAAATTAACAAAGCACTAAAATAGTTAGAAAAAAAATGCAACGATATTCACATTATAGACACTGATAAAATGTTATTCCTCCGTATGAATTACACACACGCACAACACACATACAATATTCCATCTGGTAAAACACATACTTAACATCTATGTAAACATGATGCAATTAAGAATACTACATAGGGGATAAACGATGCATCGTTTTACACCGGCGGCGAGTAATGAGATACTGACACCATACATAGTTTTAGTCTTAATTATACAAAATCTCATGTAATACACGTACATCACGTACTTACGTATGACCATATAGTGTCAATGTCAGTGTGTTATTATACTGACGTTACATGTATGATATTCCATGGATAAGGCACAGTTATAGGGATGTATGGAGAGGTTTCATATCGACAAAAGACCTAGTTTTTCGTAACGAATGTAAAATGTCTTCTCATTATGGTAGACCAATTCTTGTGCAATTGTTCCCATCGGCGTGTATATCTTTAAAAATAAATTCTTGAACGTAAACAATATATACTAACAATTATTATGATTTGCTTTTTCTTGTCATGTTTGTATGTCTTGTTTTCATTAGAGAACTTGACATTACACATGGTCTTATTCTCCTTGTATGTTTTTCAGGAGTCTCATGTTAAATAGTTCTTTTGTTCATAGAATGCCCTCGTTTTGTTAAATATGAGTTTTACTTAAGATTCTGTCCACGTCCATATATTTGTACACTGAATGTTCCCTTCAAATCGATTTCTTCTTTTTTTTCTGTCTTTTTTTGTGAAAAACGCTTTATGAAGAATAGATATGATACCTTCCCATAATCGCCCCTTGGAACCCCGATGTGTATAGTTGTAGAGAGAATGATCAAGAACGCACATGGTCATGTCTTTTTTGTTTTAACACATATTAAGCATTTTTATATCAATTTCTTGCACACATTGACTATGCTGTTGATATTGTTTGCATGTTCACAAAAATGGGTCCACTTTCAATAGGGAAAAAAACGCAAAATTACGCGACAGTTTTGAGTTATAACACATTAGTACCTATTATAACACTAACAAAGAAGCAGTTGTTTTCTTATATTTCGTAGGTACGAATAACGTGGAAATAGGGAAAGAATTTTGATACACAGATATATATGAACAGTACAGAAATCTTAAAACAGAAAGTATCATACAATGATGAATGTAGTTGAGATCAATACACTTAAACCTAAGCTGACATTGACCTCCCAGTCCATTAAAGACGTCACAATTTTTACTGATTGTGTTTCTAGAAAGAAAACGGAGTGTCAAAGAATACTTGCACATGTTATCCAAATTACGATAAAAATATCTTTTCTAATCCATTCAAACCTTAAACTTTTCCGTTTTTTTCTTACTGAGTCCATAAATCTGTTTGCGTTGGAGTGTAGAGTTACCCTTGATCGATGGTCCGCTGATGTTAAACTTGTTTTCATGTGGAAACGTTACATCACTTAATTTTATTAAACATGATTTACATGACGGTTTTCAACTAATTGGTAGAAGACGCTTACTCTTCGGGAACACCTGGTCTCTGGTCTTATTCTTCTTGTACGTTTTATGAGTCACAGTATTAGTCTTTCTTTTTGTTCACATTTTATCCTAGGTTAATCGAATTTGAGTGTGATTTCAGGTTATGTTAACATATCAGTATTTTCTTTTCAACAAATACCAGAGAAAGAATTGACAGTTGGATCCTCAATAACTAACATCGTTATGAGTATATATTTGAACAAAATCCTATGTCCCTACGTCCTTAATCGCTTTGTCGTGGATGATTTAAACTTTATTCAGGGTATGTTCGTTCTTTCATGATCAACTTGAATAAATGCTTTGACACTTTACTAACCAAATTTGAACATGGGATTATATGGTGTAATGTTTACCAATTCAATTTTTCATTATAATGAATGAGTGACTTCGGATACACCATATCATATCAACGTTGGTACCAACAGAACACAGTAACACAACCCAAGTGGGACATAAGTAATGCATAAAAACAACATATTTAAGGTCGATCATCAACAATATAACGAACAGATCAACATCGATATCAGCTCAATCGTAGTTCACGCCCATACAATGTTACTATGTCAAGTACAATTAGCCACGAAGCAAATAAATAAATTTACTTTGTGTGATAAAATGATACACACAGAAGTGTATCATATGTAAGTTTTCATTTCATTTCATGTTTGCCTGTGCATACTTCCGACATATTAGTTAACATTAGTGACCTATATAAACTTCAATGATTTAAATGGTGCAAAAAAACCTTGGACTCAGTGGGCTATCTACACAACAAAAGCCAACACACGGCGTTACGTATACCGCTATTTAAAATGCATAGACGAAAACATGTACCAGTGGATATAATCAAAATGTCTCTGAACAAGTTACTATATCAAAACATTGATGCACGTATTTAGCACATGATATTGTAGCACTCAGTATATATCTTTTGGTACAGCGTTGTGAAAAGTTGATATAAAACGTGTATTTGATCATCTTTTGTCCATTAAGTCTGTGATGTATAAAAAATATCTCTTAATAATGCAATTCTGCATAAAAAAGTTTTCCCAATGTAGAGTGTATGTCTTAAGTTTATAAACTTTCCCTCTTCAAAACAGTGTCATGTAATTTATAATCGCAAATACTATCCATCATAAAGCACCGGTATTTTGATTTTGACCGCTTGTAAATAGATCTTATTATACGAACAGTGATACACAAAACGCTATTCACTAATATATCAAACGGACTAGTGCAGCAGCAGATATCACTTTACTTCAAGGGGTGTGTTCATATATTGCAATGATTGTACAACTACCAATAGTACAACTCGTTATCAAACAGGTACATCTAACGCTGCACCTTATTGGACTGGGAAAATCACGTGTTTTCCCAGGAGAAATACCATCAACATGGTCACATTGTAATAACTCCTTTATGATGATTGACATTTTATGAAAAAAATGAATAACATTTTCCAAATGATACATAAGCACTAGCTGAAAGCTGAATACGATTAATATTTCATTGATATATACATTTCTTCATCCGTTATTGTGTATGGATACTAATGATGAAACAGTATATATTGGCAAAACATCTGACGGCATAAAATCAACATTATCGTAAAACAATATATAAACAATGTTATTTAGTGGTATGTTGTTAGTTACAGGTACATTTCTTGACATTTACGTTTTTGAGTTTTTGCTCTTGTTCACAAACTTGGTAACCATTTTCTCAATTAGACCTTTACCAGGTTTAAATATGTATCTGAAACACCCTATAATATAAACACTCGTATACAAACCATCCATACTAATCTGGTCAAGGTATACATCAGTAATTGTTATAAAAAATATCACTGTACAAGACAAATATTGAGATTTGGAGACAGTTAATTATATAATGATCTTACTATCACCAACATCAAACCTCCTCGTTGTTTACGCTTGAGTAATATTTTCCATCGCTCAATTTGCGTTGCTTCAGACCTTGGTTAATGTCCGGGGCAGCACTAACTGCCTCAGTGTCGGTAGCTACTGCTTGGTTATAACTTGGGGACCGCCGCATGCTTCTATCAGGTGAGCGCATATTGTCTTTTTCAACATCTTGGTCACGTGGCAAGTTATTTTGATGTTGCTCTACTTTGGCATAAGGCACATCATCAGGGTCTACATCGTCATCGCGAGACGGGTCCGAGTCTTCCAACGCTAACAGTTTTTTTCTAATAGGGTCTTCCTCAGAGTCCCGTTTTTTCCTTCCGATGGGGTCACTGCTTTCCTCATCTTTAGCTCTCAAAGGATCTGAATTTTCCCCGCGTTCGGTTATTGCTAAAGGAGAAGATGTCTTTCCATTTCTGCAAGTAAATACAAAATAGACCACAAATTATTCTAATTTCATTTATCATCTTCAAAAATATAAAATAATTTCTAAATCACAACGCTATGAGTTGCCATTAAAAAGTAAATATTTTCATGTTGTTGCGCTAACCTCGTGCTTATAGCACTTACCTTGCCTTCATGTCTTTATTGAGTTTGTCGATCTTCAGAAGAGCGATGTCAAGCTGATGTTTGACTTTCCAGATCTGAGTCTCACAAACGGGGTCTTTACATCTGTGTTTCTTTGTGTAATCTAAGGCCTCCATGACGGACTGCTCAAACGTTAAAGACTTCCCCATACTCTGTAAATGAGATATGTACTCAAAGTTACATACCGAAGGATACCCAAGAAAGTGCAGTAAAGTGAAACAAATCCGTTTAAACGAGACATAGCAGTAGCAAATTATGAATAAATACATAATGTAAAGAAAAGCAATGACTGTCATGGAAATATTCGAAATATTGTGTCACCATAAGAATTAATCAGAAATGCAGCGACCAATTATAAGATATGCCACCGTATTTTTATCTCAAATATACTTACTAAGCTTACTAATGCACAACAACCACATTTATCGTATTGTTTCAGACACTTCCTGCCAAATCGGAAGTAGAGGTGTTCCAATATAAGTAGAATACCCCCAAGCACAATTCCGGAGGCCAGGAGGATGAAAGCACTGGTAAAATTTAGAATGCCAAGCTGATGACTGTTCTGCTTTCTCTTCTGTTTGGAGTGACACGCCCCTGCCAACCAGAATTTCCGCAACCGATCTAGCTCTCCTGTGAAACACGGGATAAGAACAGTTCACAAAATAAATATGAAAAACATGTGGAATGCAGGTATGTATTAACTATGAAACGAGAGTATCTTCATAATGTGGATGTTTTGTATCAAAAAGTTTAAAGGTCTCTTAGCATAAACACACATACTCGTTTTCCCAAACTAAACAGTAGCCTTCAACATCCAAAAATATGGTGTTATTGGCGCCTTATAAGTATTCAGAATTATCTATATAAATATATACAAGCCGCTGAAGATACTTGATTATAAAGTAATACTTGGCATAAAAATGTATGATACAATTAGGAACATGTATTACAATGACCTATAAAATATATGGAGAACACTACAATCGACATAATAATACAATGTTTTATTACATATATGGACACGCTACACTTTACCTAATCAGATTTTCTTTAACCTATATGGATATCCGATGTAATATATAATTATCTCCCTTAAATTACATATAATAAAATAATACTATGAATGATTCTTGTAGCACAGCACGCTTTATATCAGAATAAGAAAATATTTTATAATATTTTTAAACGTTATTCACATCGCTCCATTGAAGGATTTGTCATTAGATACTATATGGGATATTTCGTGTGTGTTCTAGTTTCACATGGTCTGGAGAAGTACACATACCATATTCTTGAAGATCTAACAGGTATGAATTGACCTCCTCCACTAGGATGCCAGACCCCTTGGGGAAGCCGACACCGTAGCCCGTCATGGCGTACCACTTGCCCACGGAAATGAGATGACAGTCAACATCTATACCAATCTGGTACTCTAGGGGCGTGGCATCATAAATAAACGCTTGGATCTCTCTGTAACATCACAGACATATATACATTTAGGAGATTGCGTCAGACGTATTTTTTTCCTTCCTGTTACTATTATAAAGATACTCACATCTGAAAAATGTCATAAAGCATCGTTAAACGCATGAATCTCCCTCAAATCCCACTTGATTTAAACTTGGTCCAATAGTAACTTGTGATGTCAGTATTTCATCTTACTTCCGGAATAACGATGATTTACCTCATTCCTGCCTGCATGTATGATTTGTTTAGTTAACCAGATATTTTACGGGGATGATTAGCGGGTTGCCGTCGTCGTATACAAAGATGATAATTTCACCGTACATTCAGTGACAAACACGACAGCAAATTTAACCAAACAACACGATAAACTAGACTTATGTCGCCATGTTATGGATTTAAACCTCATTAAATCAGCAAAAATATAGAAATCAATATTGACCTTGACCAGTCTTTGAAAACAATGTACAGCACATCGTCTCGTCGGGTCTCTACAATGAGGTGTTACAATTTTCCTCGTTCATTTTTTTATTGTTTACCGTCATCAGAGAAACACCGGATCTGTAGGAAATCCAGACGATGTTTTGCTATCCATTGTGTCCATGACCTTTAATGAACGGATGGTACACAACTGGTTGACGTTTAGTAATTCATCTATTGTTTGAAAAAAAACTCCAAGACAAATGAATGTTCCAACGATAGCATTACTGAAGGCAAACTGGATTTGTGTACGTACTTTTGGATATATATGTCATTAAGAATGATCCTTCCTGCTTTGTGTCTACAAAAACAAACCTGCGTTATATATTTGTAATACTTAGCCGCCACAGCTACGAATCCCCTCGTGGAGAAACTATGCAAGGCTTCTTACGTTACATGTAATAAAAAGTTCCTTCACAACATGCATTCTGTACCAGATGCATGTCTGGGACACCCATCAACCTGTCTCACTGACCCTTTTTTCAATGCTTTCACGGCTTCCCGAACCGACGGCTGATTGTACTTTTTCATGTAGCTGAACATTTCTGGGTGATTTTGTCTCAGGTTTTCTTCCGTGCTTCCATTAGGCACGGTGGCGAACTTGAAAGGCGGTTTGTGACTGTGTGGATTTGTTAACTGTGGAAGACAAACCAAAAAAGACTTCCTTTAATAGCATTCACATCCAATTTTTAAATATATATATAAAAGACACATTTTACGTTGATAAGTGCTAACAGTGCGGAATGTTGTCTCCTTAAACCTTATATGCTTTCCCAAAGTGTTTCTACTATTACCCGAATCCGGTATGCATATTTGCCTTATATAGGTTTAACCTTGCAATTGTTATCGACATAGCTTACCCTCCAATCTTTGATGCCTGACAGATCATAGTAAACTTCCTTGGTAATCATAAAAGCGGCTAAGTTAGCAGTGTAGCTTGCCAGGAAAACCAGGGCGAACAATGCCCACACGTTGGCCAGGAAACGACTAGCGCCCCCTCGTGGATTATCAGCCGAGACCGAAGCCCCAAACAACATCGCCCAAATCAACCAGAAGGACCGGAACAGGGAGAACGCATGCTCTAGAAAATGAAGAGATAATGATAAAATGCAGTGATACAAACATTGACAGTTGTATTGTTCGTGTCTTGACTATGCACGTTTTACATGTCAAGTATCAGTCAGAAGGACAAAGTCATGTAAAGACGATAACGTATTCATTATTTCATCATTAAAACAACGCGATACTTTTCATACAAACCCCAGTATAGAAAATCTTTGGCGCTGGTTTTATTAGGTACAGACATGTACGGACCTACTCAATAAGTGTGTCTAATTTGGCACCAACTCACCCGTCCATCTCCATCTCGTGACAAGGACTCTCCATATATGGCCATACAGAAAAGGTATGAGTATGGACTTACCACGCTGGATGGATAACACTAGCTATTAGACGCCAGACTTTGAGGGACCTTGGGGACAAAAACAATGAGCCGACGTCCTACAGTGGTGGCTTTTAATAGCCTGTATATAGACTATTTGAGCAGTTTGGTATCAGTGGGACCATATCTTCATTCCATATATCAGCGTTAGACTATTTTCTGTATAATGTTTGTTATCCTTGAGAATGATTGTTTGCGTGTGCACACAGTACTATCGTAGCAACTGTTAAAAGTAATAGGGCTGTAATGAGAGCAGGCTGTAAACAGAGGTAGGGGACGCGTGTAGTTGTCATATACCAGTGTGTCGCGTACTGATAGCTATTTGTTTGACGAATGAATTTACATACTGGCGAATTGAGGACTGTTGATTGTTCTTTTATGTGGAATTACGTTTCAAGATGTTAGTGTTTTTTTCTGAAAAGGCTGCATGGTTTTATCGGTAATTTTTTCTAGTATAAATTTGAAATATAATAGTATTGTTGTCAAATGATGCATTTGACCAAGAACAACATTTAAAGAGTGACCCTAATGTTTCAAGGACAGAAAAAAAATCCTTTATGGACGATATTTCGATATTCACGACAGCCTGTACATTCTGGTGACCTAATTTACCTGTAGTTACCTCTCATAGGTGTGTTGCCCTGATCCAATCCCCACGGACTTAGCCACTCGAAGATAAAGATGGACGCTCCTATGGAGTGTACGCTGAACACCAAAATCAGGCACCATGACGGATAGTCATAAGGTTCTGAGGAGGAAAGACAGGAGGCAAGATATATTTTCGTCTTCATCAATGCAGCCCACCGTTGCATAATGTCAATAACAGCGTTTATGATATGGTATTTTGAAAATGGGAGTAATCATTTGATCACTTACTTCCAACTAATAAAAAAGGATAGTGTAATAGTTCCATATTATATCGTAATGAGTGTTGTAATCACATAACTCACTGGTACATGTATGAGAAATAACCGAAATTCCTATTCGAGAAAATCGTTATGACATATTAATTATGCCTTTGACATCAATATTGTATAGTAACCAACAACATGTGAAACATTACTAAGTGTTCCCGGCTGATTATTCACACAGTCTTTCCAATGATACTTCAATATATCTGAAAGACAATCAGATGTCCTGATGTTTCTACTAGATTTAAACACTTATCGGACCTAAAACTACATTGGTCTGTACTGCATTTAGTACAAACGCTTCTTGAAATTGCTATTCACTATTTTGTACGAGAATGAGACATGTTGTCCCTTTTTAATACAAACAGTAGTATTATGTGATGTTGATTATCTTCGTAAGTGAGAGGTTTGTCTTTCTAGTTTTACTTCTTTTGGTTTTTTTTATTCCATTGAATTAGCAGAACTCAGTAATATCTTTTCGAAATGTTCATTATCACTTTGGAGAGGTTTAGAAATATAATACTGGAGATGATTTAAAAGGATTTCTAGAGCTTAAAAGTTTCTGTGTCTCCACTTTACCATATAGGGAATTATAAAAAAAAATTAATAGACACTTTGGCAGGCTTTATCGTTATATCTAATTCCTTTACATGTATCATCTCTTCTCTTACACGTTTTACATTTGTCTACTGATAATGCATTTACGAATATTGGGCATTTTTGGGCTTAACTATCATCTTATGCCTGGTGGCATATTGAGATTAACGTGACATAAAAATTTACATTGTCACTAGAAGGTTTAAAAGTACTTGCAATAAGGAAAACCTAAGAAACGATGTCCTATTATGAACAAACACGAAACATTCACAAAAACCCTTGAAAAGTACATTGAGAATAAGACCATGTCTTCCGGAAGGGTAAGAGTCTGAGGTTTCATTGCTGACACCAATCATATTAATCCTGGTCAATACAAGTAAGTAAAAAACTCCTTGGGGAGTGGGAACTTCTATGGACTCCACCATATACTATACACACGATTTATCATCAAAATGTTAACAATGCAATGATTGGTGAGATAGCACGTTTAAAGAGGGATATGAAAAATGATAATTTAATGTCACATTGACATAGGCAGACTTTAAAGACACACGAGTGAATGAAAACCTTAACGAAGAACATCTTCTGGTTGCCAAAGGCTTTTTTTCCGTAGGAAAAAGGCGTACTTTAAGAAAGACATAATGTCGTTTTACACAGGAGAGTCTTACTTAAAATCGACATGAAGTCCTTCCAAAAGGACGCATGTGCTGCTTGTGTAGCAACAGGGTAAATGAGAGAACATCCTTCCAACTGAAAGAATCAGTTATAGAATATGACAGTTGAAGAGATCAAACTCCCCTAAGGATCATGGTCAATGCATACCTGAGACAGGAATGCATGCAACAACTTCCTTATTTAACTCCAAAATAAAATGATAAAAATCCACTTAGAATTACACAGGAAAAGTAGTAGGAAAGATGACAGTCATTGGACAAGACACGGTGGCGACTGTGCGTGTAGAATATCGGTAAGCGATTTGGCGGTCTTCCGAAAAATAAAACAGGGCTTGGCTTTACCTAGAACGGCTGTAGGAGATATAGCGCCCTTCCGAAGGGATACGACTATAGTTGTACCAGTCTCGAGATAGGGCATTGAAAATTCGATTAGCTGGTTTCGCTTTGGCGTGATCTGGAGGGCAGTGAGCACCATGTCTGCTTGTCGGTCCTGAAGGGCCCGGATGAGGCCATTCCATTCCCCTGTTATCTGTAATGTAAGAAAAACGGGAAAAGGGTAAGGCTTTGTTTCTGCATCAGTGTATCAATGTATTTGTGATTCACAGGTATACTTTAAAATGCAATTAACGAAAAGCCCTGCTACTTGTTTTTGTTATTCGTTATCAAAGTGTACTGAGGACAGTCAAGCACATGTGTCGTGGTGGTCGTGCAAATATCAGCGTATAGATATTTACATTGTCGTACAATTACAAAAATACCGACGTTAATAGAAGCACCTGACAAAAACCGGCGTTAATAAAACACTGCTACAAAGACCGACGTGAAAAGAAACCCTGTTACAAAAACCTGCGTTGATAGACATACCGTTACAAAGACCGGCGTTAATAAAGCACCATTACAAAGACCGACGTTAATAAAACAATGTTACAAAGACCATCGTTAATAGAAACACCGTTACAAGGACCGATGTTAATAGAAACATTGTTACAAAGACCGATTATAATAGAAACCCTGTTACAAAGACCGGCGTTAACAGAAACACCGTTACAAAGACTGACGTTAATAGAAACACTGTTACAAAGACCGGCGTTAACAGAAACCCTGTTACAAAGACCGGCGTTAATAGAAACACCGTTACAAAGACTGACGTTAATAGAAACACTGTTACAAAGACCGGCGTTAACAGAAACCCTGTTACAAAGACCGACGTTAATAGAAACACTGTTACAAAGACTGACGTTAATAGAAACACTGTTACAAAGACCGGCGTTAATAGAAACACCGTTACAAAGACCGACGTTAGTAGAAGCACCGTTACAAAGACTGACGTTAATAGAAACACTGTTACAAAGACCGGCGTTAACAGAAACCCTGTTACAAAGACCGACGTTAATAGAAACACCGTTACAAAGACTGACGTTAATAGAAACACTGTTACAAAGACCGACGGTCAAAGATGCATAGCTACGGATGAGGACCCTGGTTATAGAGAGAGCCTTCTCACTGTTTTAACAAAACAAATTCTTTATCAAGGTCAGCATAATTAAAAGAATATCAGTTAGGATTGCAATCCTTCAGAATACCTTAGTAACATTCGCCATTATTAATAAAGTTCATGGTCAGAGAAATTTGGTTACAATAGTCAATGATTTATAGACAACAGTTTCTATCTATTGCCAATGTTAAGAAATTACCAGATATTCGTCAAAAGTGCTTATGTGCCGACACCTAGTGTAAATACATGACAAGAGTCTTTATTTCAGATAAACACAGAATCCATTATATGATGATTCTATCTTGTAATCGTGTTTTTTTTTTTGTTTTCTGGCTGCAGTTAAATACTAACTAAACTTCACAATGTTCATGGTATATAAAATGTCTATACAGTAAGGAACAGCTCTCTAGTCTTATAGTTATACAATGATCGAGCTATGCAATATCTCTAAGCTCGTAACAGTGACGGTAAACAACTGGTAAAATAGTTAAATGCGTGCCATCTAGAAAGTCAGTTAATGGCTCTCTTTTTACAGGTAGATATTTTTTACGTTTTTTTGTTTTTGTTTTTTTCCAGACATGACTCACTCGATATTAATCTTATTGTAGGGAAAGGCACTTTCCGTTCTTGCTATATATACGATTGATGTTGAGGATTTAGCTTCGAGACTAACATAAAGTTACATTGCTGATATATTTATTGGAAGTGAAACTGTGTACTTATCCAAAAACAGCTCAAACGTCTACGGAATTTCTTTTTATGCAAACGCTACAATGGTAATTTGGCAGGTGTTTTCAGATTTGTTGAAGTATTACGAGTGGTTTGGTGGTGTATGGTTTATTGGTCGTTACACCTGTCAACCTTGCTGGAGCTAATTTATCCTATACTGAGTATCCAAACACACATAGAGAATTTATCCCTCATGGTGACAAAATAGTGTTTCAACATCTGTTACAGTGATTATGTTAGTGCTCCGAGTATACATTAAGTATTGCTATCAGACTTTGTCTCTGGAGGGTATTCTATAACAACATACATGACTATCATTTTACGTCCAGAACAGTAGTCTCATCCATTGGAGACAGTGTAACTAAAAGTCTTCGTCAAGGGCTGCCGCAAAATCCACCGGTACATAGTAAAACATCACGGCGAATCGATTCTGTCATTTTAGAATAAATCTAATCCACAATTTTCATTGACAGCTCTTCAAAAGGATGCCGTGCACTGCTCGGCTGGGAGCTGTTACGCTACACTTATCAATAGATGAGAGATTAGATAAGTTCACCACTAAAGATGGACGATAATCTTTAACAGTGTTGTGAAACAGTTGGGAGCTGTAGCGAACAATAGGATAATGATAAGTGTCCAGTTCCGCTATAGAGCACATATCGATCGTTTCGTCCCGGAAATACTATCGCACTGAATAGCTTTACAGTTAATTCAATGAACTAATTTGTAAACAACTTGCAATGCAAACAATATCAAACGATTCACAACGTCCGTCTGTAGATAGTATGCTCATTACAACAAAATCGCCGTGAAGGAGCTTCAGTCAATCGGCCTTTATTTAACACATGAATGTAGTTTGCTTATGACTTCTCATAATTAAGACAGAATGAGTTATTACAATAAGGCCAGCAATTCCCAGTAAACTATGCCTTCAACAAATAACAGAACAAAGTGTTTTATCTTTTGGGTAAATTAAACTAATAATCTACAAACAAATGCAAATCGTTGAAAAACGTTAGAAGATAATCGGGAGTGTGTTTCAACGTTAATGTCGCTATTGAGTACACTTGTCGTTTATAAAACGATTAGGGAAAGTGAAGGGATGTTATTATTGGAGTAAAGTCGTTTTGACGGAGAACAAGTTCATCCTAATCAATTTATCGTTTGATGAATGATGGTAAAGGATGATGTTAGGCAGCGATAGAGGTCTATAGCGCTATGTATCTCGTAAGTGGATAGACAGGGGATACGCTCAAGCTGCCTAGCTGTCTCGTCGGACGAACATTTAGATAGAGGTCTATAGGGCTATGTATATCGGAAGTGGATAGACAGGGGATACACTCCAACTGTCCAGCTGTCTCGTCGGACGAACATTTAGATAGAGGTCTATAGCGCTATGTATCTCGTAAGTGGATAGACAGGGGATACGCTCAAGCTGCCTAGCTGTCTCGTCGGACGAACATTTAGATAGAGGTCTATAGGGCTATGTATATCGGAAGTGGATAGACAGGGGATACACTCCAACTGTCCAGCTGTCTCGTCGGACGAACATTTAGATAGAGGTCTATAGCGCTATGTATATCGTTAGTGGATAGACAAGGGATACGCTCAAGCTGCCTAGCTGTCTCGTCGGACGAACATTTAGATAGAGGTTTATAGGGCTATGTATCTCGTAAGTGGATAGACAAGGGATACGCTCAAGCTTCTCAGCTGTCTCGTCGGACGAACATTTAGATAGAGGTTTATAGGGCTATGTATATCGTAAGTGGATAGACTATGGGTACGCTTAATCTGTCTCGTCGGACGAACATTTAGATAGAGGTTTATAGGGCTATGTATATCGTAAGTGGATAGACAAGGGATACGCTCAAGCTGCCTAGCTGTCTCGTCGGACGAACATTTAGATAGAGGTTTATAGGGCTATGCATATCGTAAGTGGATAGACTGTGGGTACGCTTAATCTGTCTCGTCGGACGAACATTTAGATAGAGGTTTATAGGGCTATGTATATCGTAAGTGGATAGACTGTGGGTACGCTTAATCTGTCTCGTCGGACGAACATTTAGATAGAGGTTTATAGGGCTATGTATATCGTAAGTGGATAGACTGTGGGTACGCTTAATCTGTCTCGTCGGACGAACATTTAGATAGAGGTTTATAGGGCTATGTATATCGTAAGTGGACAGACTGTGGGTACGCTTAATCTGTCTCGTCGGACGAACATTTAGATAGAGGTTTATAGGGCTATGTATATCGTAAATGGATAGACTATGGGTACGCTTAATCTGTCTCGTCGGGCGTGAATTAAGGGAGAAAATAACTAGAAATGTAAATAACAATTTCAATCTAAATGTTGCTGCGGGTACATCGTAAACAACCCAGTTCAAATTAAACCGTCACATTGACACCATCACGTAAATATCGACATATTGATAACTATTTAGTAATCCTTGTTTTTATTTGATATCAAGTAACTAACAGCAAAATTATGAGATCAAATATAATATTAAGATAGTACACCTGCGTACTCAAATGTACTACTGCTCATCTAATGTTGAAACAAAACCAATAACTACATGAGAAATATCGTTTAGATTAATAAATTTTGATAATTTTATATGAAAATAGTATTTTCATATTATGAAGAGTATTTTAGAAGAGGAGAAGAGGCACATTTCAACATAGGCAATCGATGTAAACGGGAAAGTTCGCACCGCATCACTATCTCTTCACTAGATAATAGTAATGAAAAAGTTCATGGCATTAAGTTAATTACTTAATTAATGATTTAAACCAATTTTACCATTCACTGTAAACGAGCTGTTGGTAAGGTGAATTATTGTGGTTGCCAAATGGACAGATAAATCACTATACAGACTATTTACCGGGCATATATCACTCATCTTGAGTTAATGTAACGCACGTGATTTCTCAGACAGTCATATATCAAATATAGAGTACCTGCAACGTCCATGCGACATCGCCAGCCATTTAAAAGCGTAGGGCGGTGTGTCTGGCGCATGCTCTGAACGACCCTCCGGTCTCTGCGATGAGAGAGCCAGACTTCCGTCGAATAATGTTCGTCCGCCTTTCGAGTGTCAACAATAAATTTGTCTATCCGCGTCGCATTTCAAAACCAATTATTTGCTAATTGGGGTCTGGATATTTTCCGGGGAATAGAACTAATGAACACTTCACACCATGATTTTTGTGTAGTTTCACAAAATTTAACTAGGACGCTGACAAAAAGCAACTGGTGCAACAAGCAAAGATAGTTTTGTTTTGTCATTTTCATCGTTTTTATGACACTATTTACTTGTTCTGACAACTGTAAATGTCAATCTGTAAGTCTCACAGATTACATCTCAATACACAAGAGCATGCTAGGAAACACTGTCCTGTTGTGGCCAAGGATAATAATCTTATCTTATCTACATACTCTATTCGTAAAACAGCATTTAAACTAAACATAAGTGTCTCCGTATAGGGAAATCAATGGAAATTTATATTGTCGGAGAACAGAAGAGACAACTCACCAATTGATCTCTTCAAGCCAAAAACATCTGAGCTTAACTTGGAATATTATTTTTACTTACTTCATTTTCCACGCCGAAGCTTCGGTCCGCCACCTCAAACAGATCAAAGTCGAATGCCATCTTTTCGCTGAGGATTTTTAGTAGGTCGATACTAAGTCCGGCACAACATCGGACCACAGTTCCGTTAAACAGCGAGGTGTCGTTTTTACCACTGTAACAAAACACTTAATTATACTTAGAGGAAAAGTTAACATTTTCACCATATCAGTTTGAACTTTGCAGAGTTTTTGTGTCTTTTGTTTAATTCTTTGAAATTATTGAGCGATGAACTTTGCCGATGGATGGACTTAAATCCCCAAGTTATGACATATCGTTGGCTGTGACGTCATAAGTCTTATGTACAATGACACGTTTTAGATATAGACATGTTCTTGACGTTTTCATAGAATGATGAAATACTGTATTTACAACGTTTATTGAATAATAGGTCAGCGAATTTCCTGATCTAAACTTGAAGGTTTATTTCAGTCGAATTCTTTTACACGCCTTCTAGAATCTCATACATCAGATCCCTTGCATCATCGACGCGTACAAGAAGGACGAGATAGCTGAGTGATGTTTTCAATGCATTTTTCTCCACGTATTCTATCTATTACTAATCAGATTTCAAAAGGGTTTCTAACAAGTGTACTATTTATTGATACATATTTTTCAGTTTTTGTTTTAACTTACTTTCCTTATATATATTTGTAATTGTCATAACAAGTTGAATATTTGTATGCAAAGATTGAACACATTATTACAGGCAATTGATGTTTTCTTTTGCCATGACCAAAATTGGGCATTGGAAAAGAACTGTAACTCTGTAGATGACGGACACGTGTCCAGATATCAGTACAATGACACTTTGCAAACGCATTAACTTGTCTACAGAATCTGGCAAGTGAACCATGGGCATGAACTCTGTATATACTGATGTATGAGAAGCAATGTTCGTGCATATTAACATTTGGTGGTCCACATGGATACTTTAACTAAAAGACTATTAGTATACCTAATGGACAGATATATAGATTGGTTGATAAAATCCACCCTGGTCGCGTGGGAACAATTATCAAATATGCAATATGACACCTGATCGAATTAGTATGGGGCAGAAATACGGTAACGTCCTTTCTTGACTGTAACGTAAGATCGCATTTCTATTCTGTAAATATTCTCATGTAATATTTTTCTACGTTGGACTTTGAGCGTATCTCGTGCGTGTATAAGATTTTCCCCTGCAATATTTGCTAAAATAGTTTATCAACTATTTGTCCCACATATGTTCATTGTAGCCTTTTGTGGAGAGTTCCATAAAGAACATATGAATTGGAATCGAATTTCAGATCTTTCATATACGTCGAATGTAAAATGTATGAGAATCCCCGTCTTTACAAGATTATGATAAGCTGTTAAGTAGAGAACAAAGAACTGTTGTTGATACAGATTTTAAATATTGCTGGAAGCAAACGACTCACTGAATGGTTTCGTTGTAGACTAGACGGCAAGGAATGGACGGAGGACCACATTCCCCAGTGGAGTTATCAAGTTCTTTGTACATAACATAAGGTTGCTCTTCTAGTGTCGCGATTCTGAAGAACCGTCTGTCTGGTCGTCCTTTTGGCGGAAATCGCATTTTTCCTGGCCAAGTGATTCCTCGCATCTCCAGTTTCATTTCAATCTTTTTTGAATATCGGACTGTAGTCACAACTGGTGCCCAGCTGCCGACCTGTAACGAGAAAGAGGTAGCAGTGACCGCTATTAAAGCGAACAAACATACTTAAAACACATACTGTTGAGCCTCATGGAATGTATTACTGTAAACGAAAAACATTTTCACCCAAGTTTAATTTCAACCCATTTCGCCTTTTCACATATAAAATGAAAACTGAGTTTAATTGTGGAGCTAAAGTTGAGTAATGCGTTTCCATGTATGTTAGACTGCATTTTTAGAGGGCAAAACAATCTTATTAATATTTCAAAAGCAGTCATACATATAGTCATACATATAGTCATACATATAGTAGTCATACATATAGTCATACATATAGTAGTCATACATATAGCAGTCATACATATAGCAGTCATACATATAGTAGTCATACATATAGTCATACATATAGTAGTCATACATATAGTCATACATATAGTAGTCATACATATAGTAGTCATACATATAGTCATACATATAGCAGTCATACATATAGCAGTCATACATATAGTAGTCATACATATAGTCATACATATAGTAGTCATACATATAGTAGTCATACATATAGCAGTCATACATATAGTCATACATATAGTAGTCATACATATAGTAGTCATATATATAGTCATACATATAGTAGTCATACATATAGTCATACATATAGTAGTCATACATATAGTCATACATATAGCAGTCATACATATAGCAGTCATACATATAGTAGTCATACATATAGTAGTCATACATATAGTAGTCTTACATATAGTCATACATATAGTAGTCATACATAAAGCATTCATACAAAAATCCTCGTTGAAATAATAAATTCGTATGCGAATTCACGCTTACGTTTCAAATGTGCAGATAGGAGACTTGTTACAGCAAAGTCAAAGTAATTTTACATTAGTTTTGTTAATAACTTATTGAATGATAAAAGAGTGTTAATCGAGCTGAACAAAACATTGTATCATTGGCTTCAAATATATTTCAAAAAGAAAATAATTTAAGATGGTCCTCGAAACATAAAAAAGAAATATTCAAGAAATATGTTAACGGCTTATGCAAAATTTCGTCTGTCTGTGCAATCATTTCTACTTAAAGCCGCCTTTTGACCTTGTCGCGTAGCTAATTCTACTTCCGTTAACACACGACTGACTGTTCATCTGATTGTCTCTATGTGTTGACAATTGTTTAGGCTTCTCTACAATAAATAGATTTCAAGAAATAACACGCGAAGCCCTCTTGACTTAACTCTGTTGCTATTCATGTACGCTAAATTAATTTTGAGCTGCAAAGTACAAATTACAACAACACAAAATGAAAAGACGATAGAACAGAAAGCTCTAGACAGCAAGCTAGATCCTATTTTCAAATTACCGCGATTAAAAGTCTGTCGAATCCACGAACACCAGATTGTGCGTATATTGAAAACGTGATTCGTTTACTTTCCATTGTTGCCGACCCAGCATTCTACAGTCATGTACTGGCATCCTGCCAGACTACGTGCTAGCATGCCATTTATACTGCATTTCACATTTCTGAATTTCCCGAAGTAGGCATATCTAGAACCAATATCTCCCTTACACACCTTCCAATTGTCTGACTATATATAAATCAAAGTTGTCAGTCAAGTCCTCTAGCAACAGACAATTACCACACTGCTTGTTAATAGACCTTTCCGTAATAGATACCGTTTTGCTTCGTGTTAGCTTTAAAGGGAAAGACAATTAAGTCAAAGTCTAATCAACCAAAATTTGTCGAGTACATAATATATTCATTCAGTTGTTACCAATATTGAATGCTCATCAGAGTCACATTTTATGAGACGTACCACAACGTGTGAACTAATATCGTTTTGATATCATTACTTTAATTATCTGCAATAATGTCATGAATTGTAAAGGTTATTTCGGTGATTCATGCATGGACCGTATCACCACTAAGCTTGATCCATTCATAAATGATCTTTTTAAGCCATGTGTTCTTTAAGCTTGATTCAAACATTGATGTGATATTGTATAATTTCCTGTCATCTGAACGCTTGATTCTAACAATAACGTTCATTGTAAGGAATTGATGTTTTGACTTTGTTTGCTATAACTGTAAAGGTTAAATCTTCGCTGTCGATGGTATAATACAAATTTTCTATCATTGTTTACATAATACTCTTTTTCTGGACTTTGCAACATATATTTTGGCTAAGTATAAAACAATTAATGAGACTTCGAAAGCAGCTATTGATAAGGAACAGAAATAGCGTAAGGGATGAAGTGGTATAAAGTAAGTTGGCGTGGTTAAAAAACAATAGTTAGGGAAGTCAGTATTAAAAAAAATGAGAGTAAACAATTACCTCCAACAGATCAGATTAGCTATTATGAATTGTAGCAATACATTTGCTTCTAAAGTCACACTAATTAAATTAATTTATCTTACTAGGAAACATAAAACTTCACAAACGTTTGATGTGAAAAATGTTTTGCACATCAGGGAATGCCAACTAATTTGAAAAAAGAGAAGTTTAAAATTTCACAGCTTGTTATGTAACTATCGGATTACTAGAAGAACGCGATCTAAAACGAATCAGCGAAGGAAGGTAAATCGCTTTTGGACACCTAATATGTTGGTATTGAAGACTGGTGAGAAGACGAACAAAAACGTTTTGAAAGATGAGGAAAGGAAATGTGCAAGCACAATGACAGTTTAGCTCCGCTTAATGTAAAACGCTTTTAAAGGCGGGTTAATCGGATAATATCATGTCGGGAATCCCACAGTTGAACAGTAAAGGATGAGGTGTGATGATGTATTAGAGAATAATACTGATTTTTTTATTCTATCAATACCATTATATATAATCCTTTGCAGATGATGTTGATCTGAAGAATGTATGTACTACTTTATACAAGGAATATTGTGGTAGACACACACTACAATATATCTATATACACTTTAATTAGCGTCAGACACATTATAAAATATAAATGTATATGATATTTGCCATAAAAAACCCCAAAAATTTCAACAAAACATAAATTTGTTTTCCACATCTATAAATACTTGTGTATTTTTACACATTTTTGAAGGCATTACCTTTTTAAAGAAATCTGTATTAATCAACTCCCTTTTCAGTAGATATTTTTTTCAATAAATCACAGAAAGTAAGATTGTCTTGTTGAGTTTCTGTTAAATGCTGTATATGCCTTCAAATTTCATTGTCTGAAGAAACTTAACATTTATTACTGAAGTTCAGAAATGTATAACGTATCTATGTTCTACATCTTCACTTTAACTGTCCCTGTCACCTTCTTTCCTTTTCTCTTCTCCTATCATATATACATTGTATTTGTAAAATTCATTCTTCATCCGGTATTAAAATATTTTGTTGTTTTTCCGTGATCTCAGTGTAAAATATCCCTAAATACCAAATACCAAAATCCGAACTTATTTAAACTGAATATTCGGATTACTCGAAATTTCCTTATGGCCACGTTGACTTCGAGATATCGAGGTTCGACTGGTAATATGAACCTCCTGTTGAATCGGTGTTGTACTCTTTTATTGTTGACAACACAGACGGCATCGAAATCGAATCGTGCACAAACGCTCGTCTTTGGTATTGATTTTGTTATTCATTAATCTTTTCCCAAATTCGTGTTTTTCTCTAAAAAGTCGATTTCTGTATACTTTTGCATCACTTTCGACACCCCAGTTGTTCTCTGTTTAATAGTGCCGTGTGGTGCTATGCTGCTTTTAATTTAACGGTTTAGTTTGCAAGACATGTTGACTAACTACGCTTTCTTTCTTTTTTTTTTCAAACATCACAAACTTCGATTTTTTAGTATGTCGAACATAGGTCGAAGAATGAAACTCAACGATTACGTCAATTCTTCTTCAGAGTCGAGTATGGCTTTCTTGCTAGATTCCTAACTTATTGGTTTTTTTAACGAATGAAACAATAAGGTTTCATTGCAGACGTTTTCTATCTATTGTCCAAAGAATGGTAAAATAACAGAGGCATGATTGCAGGAATTTCAAGTCGGTGATTTCTTACTGAAATATTTATCACAGAGAATCAAGATATTAATTTACAGAGGTTCAGTAAAAAACAAGACACTTTGGTTTGTCCATCAAGACAGAACTACTGCATAATACTCCATAAATATGTCCAATATCTAATTTAAAACCGATTGCCACTTATCCGGGTTGGTTTTGAAATTCTGAAAATGCAATTTTCTAAATAATTTGAATTATGCAAACCCATGAGCTCCACTCTAGAAATGTTCAATCATTCAAAGGACACAGAACTAGTACTTCTTCTTTAATTAGCCCAGTTTAGAGTGCATCAAGCGACACGAGTACAGTTTCCTTAAAAACCTGCAGACAGCGCGAGTTATGTCACTACGTTCACTAAAGGTAAATAGACAGATAACGTACGACGTTTAGGCGAGTAGTGTAACGTGTTCGCAATCTCATACATTTGTAAGAAATGTTTCATTCGCAAACCCCAGGAACATTTTTTCAGGTATAATCACAATGTAGATAATTTTGCTAATCTTGTTATTCAAGTAGATTTACGTTGGGCTTAGAAAAGGCTTGAAATGACTTTTCGATTTGATTTCAATCTACAAAACGAATACTGCTTCTCTGTCTCACCTCGGTCAGTCGGCCTCTAAGACGCCCTCTGAACATAGCTTCCTGTACGTTAAGGATTTGTAGGTGAACATATTTGTTGATGCTGATGTCATTGAATTCTATAGGGTACTCTGTGTCCGCACCAGCCGTATCCCCGTTTAACATAAGACTGCAAACAATTTTTAAAAATTAAACGTTGCAATTAAATTATGATGTGAAAAAATGGTATTTTCTTATGAAACATATAAGAACCTGACATCCTCTCAGTAGAAAGATCGTTAAAACATTCACTTTCAGTTTTATGAAGGTGACATATGCCTTTAAATGTTTGTATCTAGAAGCGATACAAGTGGTAATTCATCGAGTTTTACACGAAATCTAATTCGGTAATAAACGAAAAATAACTCCTTTTCACAAACATGAAAATACCGAATTGCTAAAAAATCAAGCATAAAACCCAATATCTTACAGATGATCATCATTTTTCCAAAGTCAGTTACCTGCTGTATGCGTTTCATCATCATTTTATCCACAAAAACAACTTGTTAACTAGACACTGGTGTGACTTCCGGTGTATACTCACTTGTACAATTCCTCGCCTACATCCCACGTGGTGGGGACGTGCGAGTTGTTACAGGAAACATCCGGATGTTGTTGGTCCATGTTGTAACCCACGTTTTTCATTTTCTGCATAGCGTCGATCCAAGCCTCAATAGCATTCTTTGTTACATTCGCCACCAGATCAGATTCTCGATCTGATCCGTACTCACCCTTGAACGATATACCTGTAAACAGTAGACGTACAGGTGTCCATCATTACAGTAAAAGTTTAAAATAAAACCCAGTTTTCTGTGATGTTAAGTGATTGAGAAGAGCCAGAACGAAAATATCAAGTACCAAAAAATGGAAATAAAGGGATTGTGTAATTAAAAAACGCAAACGCCCTTGAAATGGGACAAAATAGATAAAGTTGATACCCATCGAATTCTTCAGCAGTCTAATCATATAAGAAGATTTTTTTCCAAAAAATCACTGGCAAGGAATTATGGAAATCCTAGAGACGTCAATGGTTATTCTACCGTCCAAATAGCAGTACAATTATTACTTGAATATATCAACGTCCTCTTTCCCAGCATATAAAGAATATACAAAAGGTGACCAATTATCGTCTCAGTAACTTTTGCTTACAATACACGAAGGAACTGACCATTAAGTGACCTAAATAAATCATGTAAACTTGAAGAAGTGAAAATGGATCATGGTGCATTCCTTCTGTCAGTGGAAACGGGACAGACTAAGAACCACTACAGTTCAACAAGTCCGTGAGACATTGCTTCCTTCCGTTACTAAATATATCCTACTGCAACAGTCTCCCAAAACCAGAAGAAAGTGTCCTTTTCACTTATTCAAGAAGATATTTCGAAAGATATTGATCTGTTAATCTTGCGTTTTATTTTAGAAATCTTCCAACATGATCGGCAGATTAAAACATTTTATGTATCAAACGTGCAATATTTTGTTTGAAGTTAAAAACAATTAACATTTTTGAGTGGATTAGATTTAATTCATTATCTCATTAATTACATCAATATCAATCTATTAACGTTAGTATAGCTTCATGAAAACATTGATTTTCTTTTATTTCTACTCAACACCTCTCTCCTCAGTACCCTCACTACATGTTGTCACTACACGGTAAAACATTTGTTTATTGTATTACATCAATGGGTCCATTGGGGGCTTTATTTTTCTGTCTATCCACCAGGCAGTTGTAAGGTCACGTTTAGATAGCAAGTGGTGGTAAAATCTTCACCAAGGTAATTTTTGTGTTATCTAAGACGTAATCAGACAGTCCCAAGACGTACAGAATTAAACTATAGTATTCGACAGTAGTATGTGTAATCATTCATTGCTAATCAACATTGACCTGGATTCTCAATACTGAAGGACAATGTGATTCATTGCTTTTAACAGGCAAGAACTCCTCTTGCATGTTGATAAACAACAACCATAAATTAAAGATCATAAACACGTGCAGTGTCTTATTTTGTATGAAAGATTACGAGATAACAGTGTATATCCAATTGGTGTTGAGAATGTCTTAAGAGAGTTGTGTGAAAGCTAAGGACCGCCGAGTGTCATCTAGACTCCCCTATATTGGATTTTTTTACCATATAAAATCGGTAGTGAGGACTGGTGTATGGTTGGTTATATGAAGCTACTGGTTCCTGTAAACAGTCTGCCAGATTTATACCGACGGGTATTCCCCAGACTCGGGGTATTCCTTATATAGATGAAGACATTAAGTCTGATTAAAATACCACAGTCACTGCTTGTAAGAGCCATTGGCGAGACAACTGGTCTAGGAGTCTCAGGAGCGATTTGTGAACATTGATAGTGAGATTGAAGTACTAGAATGTCGATCTGGCGGGGCATATCATATTCCTTCAAATTTTCATATCCCAACGTACCCCACTGACATACTGATATCTAAGTACTTCCATGATTTCCGTGTGCCATATCACAACATTCCATTGGTTGTTTGACGTCATATTTCACCTTCAATGTCAATTGACGTGATTTAAATACGACATCCTAGATTTTCCTCAATGACATTATGCCACTCAAAAATCCCTACAGGTACTCTGACGTCATATTGTACACTCTAAGTCAGTATGACGTGTCATTCCATAAGAGTGTACCGTCATAGTGAGTATGACATCTTTGCAAGCTCTCGATGGTTATGTAGTGTACTAATATATATCTGATTCATCCTGGTTTTCGACCCAGTGTCTTAACTACTCTCGTGTTATAACGTAGCAAGATGGGGTTTGACAACTACTTACCGAATGTGCCGATAGGAAGTGTGGTGGTACGAAAGGGGCTGCCGGTACTAGAAGACGTTAGTATCCACAAGTAATCCGATCCTGCAAGACCTAAATCCTGAGCCGCATCCATGACACTGTAGGTGTGTATCCGACTAACAACATAGAACAGAATGATGGAAGAAAAGTTACACTGGTAAAATCGACTTTCAATTTAAATCGGTAAAGGACAAATAAAGGGAAACTTTATCTCTGATTACCTTGTATGTAGGATGTAGATTCTCGAATCTTTATGATTGTTCTTCTTAAGGAATTCCTTTGTTTCTTCATCCACGTAATCGATGTCGTAACTTCCGGTATACACCAGCGTCGTCACACACGTTAGCCTATGAAACCAACAAGAGTGACTATTGACATCGAAATATCTAATGTCAGTAACTCGGAATGATAAATAATAGAACACATTATCATATACCTCGGCCGAAGTTAATAATGTGTTTATTCAATTTATGTGGGTTTTTTTATTTATTTTTATCTTAGAAAGATACACAATAGGAATTTTGATGTAATGCCATGAGTCGCTTACGATGTTACAAACAAAACATACATCGTATAAAACATGTGTAAATTATTATTCAATAGTTTGGCAAATAAATACAATTTTATAAAAAAAAAAAAGAGCTAATTAACAACCAAAATATAGTGGCAACATACCGCGGTTTTCTTGGATATCCTTGGTAATCGTTATTCTGTTTCACTAGTGACGTTATGGCACTTATTAAATCAAAACTGTTGACCTGTGATGACGTCACGATGGTGAAATGAGTCCAGTTGTAGCTGTATAACAGTTCTAAGATGACCTGGGCTTCATGGTATATAGTGGGGGATAACTGTAGTGTACGTGACTTTCTCTGGTTCTGAAACAAGAATGTAACAAACGATAATTATACAGTTGTTGAAGTGACAAAATACTGTATATGAATGGGAAATTATGTTATGATGAACAGTATAGGTTGTCTATGAATAAAACACCTAATAAAGACTATATAGAATAGATTTGCCTTATAAAAATGCAGGCAAATAATGGTAACGTGAATGACCTTATCATGGTGAGATAAGTTTCAGTAAATAATACCTTTTCACACAAATTTAGATAAGACACAACAGAGCCAAACAATGAATTAAACTGCATCATACAGTTTCGTCCTAGGACTCGTCAGTGATGCTACATCATACAGCTGTTTCGTCCTAGGACTCGTCAGTGATGCTACATCATACAGCTGTTTCGTCCTAGGACTCGTCAGTGATGCTACATCATACAGCTGTTTCGTCCTAGGACTCGTCAGTGATGCTACATCATACAGCTGTTTCGTCCTTCTAGGACTCGTCAGTGATGTTACATCATACAGCTGTTTCGTCCTAGGACTCGTCAGTGATGCTACATCATACAGCTGTTTCGTCCTAGGACTCGTCAGTGATGCTACATCATACAGCTGTTTCGTCCTAGGACTCGTCAGTGATGCTACATCATACAGCTGTTTCGTCCTAGGACTCGTCAGTGATGTTACATCATACAGCTGTTTCGTCCTAGGACTCGTCAGTGATGCTACATCATACAGCTGTTTCGTCCTAGGACTCGTCAGTGATGCTACATCATACAGCTGTTTCGTCCTAGGACTCGTCAGTGATGCTACATCATACAGCTGTTTCGTCCTAGGACTCGTCAGTGATGCTACATCATACAGCTGTTTCGTCCTAGGACTCGTCAGTGATGCTACATCATACAGCTGTTTCGTCCTTCTAGGACTCGTCAGTGATGCTAAGGGCCTACATTTTGAAGCCTAGATCGCTACTAAGGGAAATCCAAAGTGACGATAGAAAAGTCAAATTCTAGACGTTGCAGTGCACTAGCCCCATAGTTTTAAAAATCGTAATTTTCATATAGCTGAAGATTTTAGAACTACATCAAGTACATGTGTGTATTCTGTACAGTGCCACAAGTCGAGTGAATTAAAACCTGGCATGCAGGTTACGGCAAACCTTGAGGATTTAAAGTTCACCCGAAGTGTCTCCCAGTTGCCTTACTTATCAATGACGAAATGGCAACATGGGCCATAATAAGATTGTACAAAACACACACACAAGTGAATAGCATCAATAAATACACATTTAGATAAGACATAATAGAGTAAAACAATGAATTAAACTGCATTATACAGCTGTTTCGTCCTTTTAGGTCCCGTCAGTGATACTAAGGGCCTAAATGTTAAATCTAAGAGGCGACCGAAGAAAATCAATCGTGATCGATAGAAATGTCAAAATCTAGATGGAGAGGTGCGCTAGCCCCCTACTTTCGTCTTTTGTTTTAATAAATTTGGTCATTTTTAGCAGGAAGTCAGGTACATGGGTACATTCTGAACTGTGCCATTTTTACAAGGAATTGAGATATGACATATAACTATATACTATATAGGCGGCCTTTTAATGACAACGTAGGCCCTTGTATATCTTAGATAACTTAAAATCCATTTCGACCAGTTTTCATTTTCCTCATTCGATTAAAAAAGTTCAACAAAATAGGCTCTTAGCATTACTGATGAGTCATAGAAGGACGAAGCACCTGTATGATGTAACATCACTGACGAGTCCTAGAAGGACAAAGCACCTGTATGATGTAACATCACTGACGAGTCCTAGAAGGACGAAGCACCTGTATGATGTAACATCACTGACGAGTCCTAGAAGGACGAAGCACCTGTATGAAGTAACATCACTGACGAGTCCTAGAAGGACGAAGCACCTGTATGATGTAACATCACTGACGAGTCCTAGAAGGACGAAGCACCTGTATGATGTAACATCACTGACGAGTCCTAGAAGGACGAAGCACCTGTATGATGTAACATCACTGACGAGTCCTAGAAGGACGAAGCACCTGTATGAAGTAACATCACTGACGAGTCCTAGAAGGACGAAGCACCTGTATGATGTAACATCACTGACGAGTCCTAGAAGGACGAAGCACCTGTATGATGTAACATCACTGACGAGTCCTAGAAGGAGGAAGCACCTGTATGATGGTATTTAATTTAGGATTTCTTTTTTACTTTAACTTATATCAAATTTATATTTAAAGGTGATATTCAATCTATGTGTCTTTTGTACAAACAAAAAACCGACGCAATAAGAGACCTCATCATTACGACATACGTTCTTCTGACTTAACAATGACATATTCATGTAAACCTTTCTATGGTTATTCCGATAACTATCGAATGATGCGTTTTTAGGCCTATAGATGATGACTAAGAAAGGGGATAATCAAGAAAAAAAGTCAGTCCAGTAAGGAGAAAGCTGTCTGTTTTGTTTAAATCAAAACTATGACTTGACATTTTCAATTGTTTTTTATCGTTAATTGAAGGAACAGCTTTAAAATGAATTTAGACTGTCTGGTTTTGTCAGCCTCAAGCTCCACATGGTATCTTCATATTGCAGTAATACTGATCTAATAATACAAAGTGCATCTATTGCAGCCTCGTTCTGTCCAATACAAGCTTTGATTTATGAAACTAGCTAATTTCTTTATATTTAACTGTCATGTCCATCCCCGGTAGCTAGAAGTAAATGAATATGTCGTAATAGTGATATAAAGCAAACTGCTATCTTATTCATGGTTCCCTGAATTAAACATATACGAAATGCAATGGTTTTGATGAGACAACAAAGCTGATTGATACAGCTCGCGGAACGGATGATCTTCGGACCAATCAATGCATTTGTCTTATCAGCAAAGAATACAGAACTAGCGACAAGAATTGCTATACTGGTCGGTCCAGTATTGTAGATTTCAACATTTTCATGTCTTTGAAAGAAACTACCCTTTCCATCAATATCAACAATGTGACAGTGAAATGACTGCAAGCAGCATGACGTCACATCGTTGATAGTTACGTTACGTGGCATGGTGGCAAGTTCATAAAGTCAATCTATACTCATGATATAAATCATATCGCTCGTTCTTCGGATAAGGCATCCGATACGTGAGTCCTCATACCCATGAACAACACTACAGTAAAACTGTGGTACTGAAGAGAGTCTAACATGAGGCAAAACAATTGATCTCTTCATCACATTCAGTGCAGATGTAATACAGTAAGCTCCTGGTAATGCATCTTGATTTGATTTGGCAAAAACATGAAATGATTAACATCAAATATTCGCGATGTCAAGAAGCAAGTACGCCTAACGCGAAATGATCGGTTACTCTGACACAAGGTTACATGTTCCAGTTGTACAGCGATTCAACAAACCATAGAAGCATTTGTCTTCCCGTGTGCGATACGATAGTATGGATGGGGCTTTCATATAAATGGAGGGTATTCCTGACACATAACATACTCATCAGTATAAATGGGTCGTTGGGTGCGCGGGAGTAACGTAATAACACAAATCAGACGGCGTGTAATTTGAATAACGTTATGAGAATGATGGTATGATAGTTGATAGAATGAAATAAAGAACAGGCCCAATGTAGTGACAGACTGCTGCGAAAGGGGAGTTTACTGGTGGTAGTCATCATGATATAAATGGGGAGATTACCGATGGTAGTCATCATGATACGAACGGGGAGATTACCGGTGGTAGTCATCGTGAAATAAACGGGGAATTTACCTGTGGTAATCATCATGATATAAACGGGGAATTTACCTGTGGTAATCATCATGATATAAACGGGGAATTTACCGGTGGTAGTCATCATGATATAAACGGGGAATTTACCGGTGGTAGTCATCATGATATAAACGGGGAGTTTACTGGTGATATTCATCATGATATGAACGGGGAGATTACCGGTGGTAGACATCATCATATGAAAAGGGGAGTTTACCACTGGTAGTCGTCTTGATGTGAACCTCAAATTCCTTAGGTGCACCAGCCGCCCGTGATAAATGCTGAACCGTACACCCAGGGTTGCATTACGGATTGAAGCATCATTGAAGATTCATTTGGAATTGTCCGTTGACAACGAAAAATACACGAGAATGAAAAAAATAATTGACTTATCAAAATTCCATTCAAAAACAGCACAGTTTTTTGTCATCAGGGTCAACTAGATTGAAAGATGTCATGTAAAAACTAAGGAAAAGAATACGCAGACAAGATTTAAAAAGCTGAAAAGAACAGGAAAACACAACATCAACGAAACGAAAAATGTGTGAAATCCTATGCTTATCAAGGTGTTACAGACATATATGATGAGATTCTCTTTATAATTGGTATAGCAAGGAGACGAGTGTGCCATTCGTCCGACAGCCATGTTAAAATTCTGAATGTGCACGGTACAACACAAAGGAAGATTATCAACGATACTCGTAGGTACAGCATTCAGTTAAATCACCGACAAGTGTCATTTCATTCTGCGTCAAAAGTTGCAACGTTCTCAAAGTGAGAACCGAAGTAATGATAATAAAAGCTCCGTACAAGTTGGAACGTAAACATTTCGATTGTCATATCTTAAAATGAAATATAATACTTCGAAATGGGGTTATGACTATACAGCTAGCCAACAGTTTGCTTCTCAAACCCTCACTATGTTATTTGCGGAAGTCGTGATATTAAGAATAAGTCTAACTATCTAATAAACTGCCGTATGTAAATTACATTGAAGTTATATTAATTTGGAAAGGTATTATGGGACGGGAAAGGATATGGACACGTGAGGAACCCTAACCTGAGGAACTTTAATGCTTAAAGGAAATAAACGTATACTATTTTAATCAACAAGGTAACAAAGAAAGAGACAGTGTTTATTTCATCATTCACGATCAAAGCAAGGCCTTAACATGTAATTCAGGATAAATCGACTAATTGTGAACATATCGTTAGGTAGTTGTAGGGTTTTAGGTGATTGCTAGGT